AGGGGTGACTATAGCCTCCTTCCATATACCTGGAACCTCACAGAAATACATTGAGAGATTGAAAATATCACAAAGAGGTCTGGCAAAGCTATCGGCGCATTTTTCGTAGACAACTGGTGGAATACCATCGAAGGGCTCCGTGCAGGAAGACTTGAGTGAACTGAGAATAGTTCTGACTTCATTTTCATAGAAGTAGACCATACTACAACTTTGAACAGAACTCGCAATGTATTCGGAGGGAAAATTTGCATCATCATCGTACGAAGAAAACACTGTGGCAAAATAATCACCTAATGCTTCGGCTTTTTCAGCATCATTAGTGCATTTGACATTATTTAGGCTGAGTAAAACAGGAGAGTTTGGTTTTGTTTGGAGCTTATTAAGTAAGTATCGGGACAGTCCTCTGAAAGAGCTTTTCAAAGATAGCCGACGCTCGTCATTGGCTATAAACTTTTTCAAGTGAAAATCTAAATCGGCACAAACTTTTTTATAGAGGGGATCTGCAAGTGGATTTACTGAACTGTCAAATAGATTCTGTTTTTGTTTAATAAGTGTGAGAATCTGTTTAGGGTAACGAATGGGAAAAGAATTTTCAAAGAATGTTAGAACTCCAAACTGACTAAGGCCTACGTAAACTTTTTTGCAGAATCTTTGATAAACTTCTTCTGTAGAGGTGTGATTCACAAATAATGTCATCCAGTCAAAATCAGAGAAAAAGGAATTCAGTCCTGAATAATCAAATTTCATAAAATCAGGGATAGGAAGTACAGAATAAACAGAATAACTCATTGTAACATAAAAACTAATGATGTTGTGATCAGCAGAAGCAATAGGAGGAAGGATTTCTACATCACTTATGTTGTTTGTAGTAGAAAGTATCAGATCAAGAATATTTTCAATATGGGTTGGTTGCCGAACATACTGGTAGTAACCGCAATTAAGGAAAAAGTCCATCAGATGTTTGGAATTTCTGTCAAGTGCACGTGATGTATTCCAGTCTATATGCAGATTTAGATCACCAAGAATAAAGGGAGGTCCAGAAGGGGAAGAGGCCAGTTCAACGAGCTTATCGATAAGTAACTTATCATCAGTCAGAGTAGACTGAGGAGGACGATAAACGTTGACGAACCTGACTAGACTTAAGTCTGTAGAGGAAAAAAAAATCAATAGAGATTAGGTCTATCATAGATACGGAACAATGCGAAACATCCTTAATGGAGATGTTTCCTTTGATAAGGCAACATACACCACCACCTACTCTATTAGTTCTGTCTGTTCGATGTATGGAATATGGAAGATTAGCCAAAATTTCAGCATCACTGATTTTGGAATTTAACCAGGTTTCAGTGACAAAAACCAGATTAGGTTTATGTCTGCACAAAAATTCATGTAGATAATCTATCTTGTTGGCTAAACTGCGTGCATTAAAAAGGAAACATTTTAATCCAAAAGTTCTCTCCATTAAACCATGCGAAATTACTGGTTTTCCTGGCGCCTATGTGGAAGCTCAGAGACATGTTTAAGCTGTCGTTTGTAGACAACCCATTCATGCTCCGGTTTCCCTTTGTTACGTTCCCTCGCTTGTTGGAGAAGCTCATACTCAGCCCTTTCATCTCGAGTCATGCTTCTACGCAAAAATATATTAGTGAAGCAAGACCCACGCAAAAGGTGAGCTCTAGATAGAGCTAAACGCCAATAGTATACAGAAGGGAAGATAACTTTCACTAAAAGAGGGCGATTATTCATAGGCTTGCCAATAAAAACTTCGCATGGGCTACAGTCAAGGTCAAGTGCGTCAAGTACATCGTCCACCTTTTTTCTTAGATCACTCACACGCTCACTGGCACGGAATCCTTGTGGTGCTTCCGGGATACCGCTGACCACTACAGTCCTGGCGCGTTTTTCACTCAATACTGCCTCATGAATCTCATGTTGCAGTTTGTTAGACAAGATGGACAGCATTTTATTAACTAGCGGATCTGTATTCCTCTCTTTAATGCATTGTATGAGATCAAGCGCAGTCATTTGAGCGTAGTCAGGTTCAACGATATGACCAGAGTTGTCTACAGAACATGCAGAATTCATAGTAGTAAAGGTTTGAGAGCCGGAAGTTCTTTTGCTGACGCGTTTCGACTTGGCAGGCATGTTAGATATGTTCAACCAATTGGTCAACGAGGAATGATAATCGATAAAGTTAGGAGAAAAATGATCGATTCAACGAAAATGTATGATAACTAAATAGGGAAAGCACGAATTTGGGTTTTTGCGATAAAGAATGGAGCAATCACAAAAAACGAAATTGTGCAGAACAATAGAATTCGGAAAATTAATACAGTTTTTCAAGAATATGTGATGAAAACAGAGAGCACACAAGATCGGCCGCTCAAGACGGACGCACGAGATAGAATGAGTTGTGTTGGTGGTGTGTTGTGTTGGTGAAAGTAAAGTGTTGGTGCACACAGCTTTTTCATCCAAGAAAATTTTGCTTCAGCGACCCACAGAAAGCCGGAGCGTTGTGGAGCAAGTTAGTATTGAATATCCCCACCTCATTTTTTAGAAGCCACAAGTTTTTTCACCCGACAACCTATATACCATTAGAAAGCCAACGAAAAAAGGGATTCGACGTAGACCGTCTCCGTCTCTTTTTCTCTAGCTCCCCTCTACCTCTACCTAGAGATACATGGTATTTCAGCTAAAAATATGTGTTTTTGTCAGAAATTTTTGCGTATGAATGAGGGTGCTTGATTGTCTAACCAGTATCACAGAGTAAGACCTTGCCAGTAAACGTAAACCGTCTCTTTTTTTCGAACCTTGTCCTTTCCTTCAAAAATGAAGCACAAAATATTTTTCCAAAATTAGCTGGTAATTAGGCGTATAAAATTGCTCGTATCTCGCTTAACTGAGAAGCTATGAGAAAAGAGACGGTCTACTTCGATCCATGATTTCAGCTTTCGAATGGTATAAAGCGTGCTAGGGTTTTTTGCTTCCCGGCTCTAAAAGCACTTGCTCCGGTGACCGATAAAAGCCAATGCATTGGGGAAGTTGAGTGGAGCAAGCTAATAGTAAATATCTCCACCCCATTTTTGAGAACTGGCAATTTTCGCCCAGGAGTCGGTATACCATACGAAAGTTCAGGAAAAGGGCATTCGACTTAGACCATCGACTTCTTCCTAGCCCCCTCTACCAAGAAATACACTGCATTTTATCTGAAAACATGCCCATTTTCAACAGCAGATTTCTGTCAAACAAAGGCCTAATCACAGCTGGTTATCTATCTATATTACAGAGCAAGTCTTCTTCAACAAACGTAGACCGTCGACTTTTTCGTAGCATTCAATTGGAGAGCAGAAAGTGAGGACAAAATTAAATGATATATCTTATATATAAAGCTGAATGTGTGTCTGTCAGTCTGCGTGTCTGTAGTATGTGCGGAATAAATAATTTTTATTTCTAAACTGATTTGGAGTAAAGTTGGCACACATACAGTTGGGGCGGGGAGCGTGTCATAGGCTTCTTTTCGTCATTGATCGACATCGATTTTATCGATTTTTATCGATTTTTTGTAAGGTTTGGACTACAGGGCTGGGAGTTGGCACAGGGGGTAGTCGAGCGTGCTGATTACGAATACAATATCAGTTTTTAGAGTTACACATTACCTTTATCGATTTTATCGATTTTTTTGCAAAGTTTGAACTACGGAGCTGGGATCTGGTAATACAGGGGGTAATCAAGGATCCTGATTACGAATACAATATAAGTTTCCAGGATTATCCATTACTTTCATCGATTTTATCGATTTTTTTCAAAATTTGAGCTGAAAGGCTGGAAGTTGGCACAGGGGGGTAATCAAGCATGCTGATTTCGAAAACAGCACAGGGAACGGGAAATGAAGTGTAGAAGTGGGCACAGGGAAAGGCCGTACAGGGATAGGGATGGGACCTTAATTACAGTGCTTTGACAGGGCCGAGCGAAGCCGGGTAAGGAAGCTAATGAAGTACATAAAATGCCTCATATCTCGCGGCACAGAAGGCCTAGAAAAAAAGTAGACGGTCTATTTCGATTCTACATGACCTTAGCTTTCGAATGATTGTAACTTGCTGAGGCATTTTGCTTTCAGGGCTCACTAACCCCCTTCACCTTAGAAGGATGGGAGTAGCAGAGACCCCCTTCTTCTGAAAAGGGCCCGGCTCCACCTATCGCACCTATGCTCGCTATCCTTTTTGAGACTAAGGAAGTTTTTGCACATCGTTTACAATCCCTGTGGCAACATTTTTCGTCCAGCCGCTGCCTGATTTCTGCTACTTTTTAGCTCTTCAGGCCGAATATTCTTAAGAGACATTTGATTCCATCGTTGCCTAGGTCGTGGACCTTCGCTTTTTCGCAAAACTCGTCCATTCTACCAGTACACATATGGTAGTCTCCGAAATCGTTGCATTTTTAAGCACTGTACCCCATAGTAAATTTGGAAGTTGCATCGAACAGTGGCTTCAGCGTCGCCACCGTTTCTTTGAATCTCGTCGCCGTTATCTCTTTCGGCAGCACGTGCCCTCGATACCTTTCGAAACTATCCTTGCCCAGATTTTTGCGTAGGAGCCTCGGTAAGCTTTTCTCTAGAACTTTTCGAACCTCTGCGGACCAATGTTCGGAACTTTCGTCGATATGCTACTCTTTTTCGTAACTTCGGTGTGTTTCAGAAACATCTCCATTATCTCTTTTCGCTTTTCTTGTTTCATGAAACGTCATCTCGTGAGCGTTCATTTTCGCCATATCGCTCGAACAACTTCGTCTTGCCGAGAGATGTCCACTGCCTCCTTTTCGCCTTGATTCCAGGGGTGCTTCTTCGTTAAGGCTACTTCTTCTACATAGCAACCGCTTTTTCTGATTGCCACTGTTGTGTCCTCGCTTTCTCGGACACTTCGAGATCTTTGTCATTTTGAGCGGAACAGGAGTAGAGCATTTATTAGAAGAAAATAAGATTATAAAAACGGGACAAACTGAATGAATCATTTGCTAAAATGAGCGCTTTTTATAGCGCTCATTTCTCGCGCATAGTGAAAATCCTATGGAGTATTGCGACAGATCACACTATGACAATTGGCAATTGATTACTAAAACACTGACACAACAGATAGCATCTCATGTATTTTCTTACTTATGAGGCATATTCCGTCGCATTCCAAAATTTTGCAAATGCACAAATTAGCAAGAAACGTACTTGACCAATTGCTAATCTAAAGTTAGAAAAAAAATTATTTGTGATTACTGCTAGCAAATTCTTTGGCGTTACGCACGTGAGGGAGATTTGTACATTACGCTCAAAAAATCCCTCATAGTTATTATTTCAAGTGGTGGATCAATTCGAAGTACAGAGGATGTGGAAAGGTAAAAAAAAAATTGTCCGAGCTTAGGCACCTGTGAATGACAAACCGATCTACATAAACACTTTGTACAATGCAAGTATTGGGAGAACGATTAAACACGAAGGTTGAGTGGAGATGTTGCATAATTCTCCTTGACAGCAGCACGTTGTTCCTAGTGAATCTTCACTACAGCCATCATCTTTCTTCTGTAGAAATCGGTATAAGCTTAGCTGGTGACCTGACAATTGAAATAGTATTTCTGTTTTTTTCTGTTTTATATTTTTATCTGTCGACAACATTTGCGGGTGAGTGGATTGCTTTCCGTAATGCCGACCGTTGCGTCAAAATGGTTGCGGAGCGAGCGTTTACAATTTTTGCTCTGTCCGGCAATTCCCTCTAGTGGGAAGGTTACTGTCAGATTTACTAACCTACAAATAAGGCAGGGAACTGCTCTATGAGATGAGTTCTGTTAAAGTCATTTTGCTGTGAATAAAGTGAGAGAAATTGTGTATCCAAACCCAGAGAAACGATGTGATTCCTGAATTCTGCGCCAAGCGAAGCTTTCATTTTAATGGCGTTTCTAGATCCATGTTTCACATCTTAATTTGTAATCTACGAGCGAGCCGTGAAGTGAAACATCTGCCTTTGTGCGATCCCCCAATGTTGCCCCTAGAAAAAGAAAAGGATCTGCAATTGCGTCCGCGCTGCCTATCCACTGATTGGTTTCTGATATGTTTGACATGACAAGCGCAAAAGAGACAGGTACTGCATAACAGTGCACCTATGTCATACGGCGTTGCTAACGGGCTAACGCCGAAGCACTCATCCACGCATGTTAAATAGTGCTTCAAAGAAGGTGTCTTCAGTATTCGGTTTTCAAATGATTTGCACCTCATATCAAATTAGGGCCATGGAACGGTCAAAAACCAAAACAATTCAGGCGGAAATGAGTTGGCTTGGTTTCCATATGTTATTGGCTGGATTGAAATTAAGTAGCGCATCGAACAATAGTCAAATGTATCTGTTTAATCTTATATATAAAGCTGAATGTCTGCTTGTATGTATGTATGTCTGTCTGTCTGTCTGTCTGTATGTATGTCTGTACGTATGTTCCGAATACAGGGTGTCCCAAAAGTAAGTACACACTTTTCAATCATTAATATCTCTCTTCCCATTGCGTCTTTTTCGGCTTTTCGAGTATCATTCTGTAGAAAAGGCTTCAACTTAGATTTTTAGTATTGAGCGAATCACCAATCATTCTTCATTACTGTAGGATTAATGTAGGAAATTCGACAAGGATTTTAGGCTATTAAAAGCCATATTCTACCTCGGAACAAAAGCAAACAAGCCAAAAACTCTTATACTATGGTGGTGGAAGCCGCATACGAAATTTTCACTTTACTGTGATGCTTCTTTCCAAAGTTATCCCAGGTAAACCATAGTAACCGAATTCATAGTATTTGTCAGAAATTTGATTGCACCGTCAAAAAAGCTGAAAACACTCGTAAAAAGTTATATGGTAGAATCAGCGTGCGCGAAAACCCTAGCTCACAATTTTTCGGGTTTTTTGAAAAAAATTTGTCAGATGGCATATTTCTCGATGATTCCACATGCTGGAAGTTCCTGCCGTAGTCCCACAGTAACGAAGGGAGATCGGTGATTCGATCGAAAATGTAAATCTAAGTTGAAGCCTCCTCTACAGAATGGTACTTGACTGGCAAAAAAGACCCATTGGAAGAGAGATATTGGCGATTAAAAAGTATGTACTTACTTTTGGGACACCCTGTAGAAAATTCCATTTCTGAACCGATCCGGACCAAACTTGGCACACATACACTACGGGCCCCGGCGGGTGTCATAGGCTACTTTTCGTCATCGATCGATATCGATTTTATCGATTTTTATCGATTTTTTTGCTGAGTTCACCTACGGGGCTGGGAGTTGGCACAGGGGGTAATCGAGCATGGGGATTCCGAATACAATATTGGTTTTCAGGATTATCGATTACTTTTATCGATTTTATCGATTTTTTTGCAAAGTTTGAGCTAGGGGGCTGGGAGTTGGCACAGGGGGGTAATCGAGCATGCTGATCATCCCCAAGGGGGGTGATCAGCATGCTCGATTACACCCCTGTGCCAACTCCCAGCCCCCTAGCTCAAATTTTCAAAAAATCAATAAAATCGATAAAAGTAATGGACGATCTTGAAAACTAATATTGTATTCGTAATCTGCATGCTCGATTACCCCCCCCCCCTGTGCAAACTCCCAGCCCCGCAGGTCACACTTTACAAAAAAAAATCGATAAAATCGATAAAAGTAATGGACGATCCTGAAAACTAATATTGTGTTCGTAATCAGCATGCTCGATTACCCCCCCCCCCCCTGTGCAAAATCCCAGCCTCGCATGTCAAAATTTACAAAAAATCGATAGAATCAATAAAAGTAATCGATAATTTTGAAAACTAATATTGTATTCGGAATCCCCATGCTCACTTCCCCCCCTGTGCCAACTCGTAGCCCTGTAGGTGAACTCTGCAAAAAAATCGATAAAAATCGGTAAAATCGACATTGATCGATAACGAAAAGTGGACTGTGACACCCGCCGGGGCCCGAAGTGTATGTGTGCCAAGTTTGGTCCGGATACGGCGGAGCCGGGTAAGCCAGCTAGTCTTATATATAAAGCTGAATGTCTGTTTGTATGTATGTCTGTCTGTCTGTCTGTATGTCTGTCTGTGTGTACGTATGTTCCGAGTAGAAAATTCCATTTCTGAACCGATCCGGACCAAACTTGGCACACATACACTACGGGCCCCGGCGCGTGTCATAGGCTACTTTTCGTCATCGATCGGTATCGATTTTATCGATTTTTTGCAAAATTTGGGCTACGGGGATGGGAGTTGGTACAGGGGGTAATCGAGCATGCTGATTACGAATAAAATAATGACAGGGCCGGGCGGAGCCGGGTAAGCCATCTAGTGCTACAATAATGGACAGCGATAGTTTGATAGCTTTTGAAAAGATTTTATAACGGTCTCCAAGATTTCACTGGCCGTTCCTTCCAGCACCGGCAAAGTAATATGTAATTATGATGCAAAGATGTGTAACTTCACAGCATTAAAGCTTTCTATCTGAACAAAAACGCCGACGTCAGGGGGAATGGTACCTCAACAATCGAAGACGATTTTGTAAAAATATCGTGGAGGAGTGACTAGTTCATTCGTTGCTGTTCATGGAAGCAAGCATTGTCAAGCGCGTGGGACAACTAGTAGATTCAACGACTGTTATAATACTCCTATGTTTATAGCATTACTCGTAATTAAGTATGATGCATAATGAAAATGTGCGCTTGGTCACTTCTTCTACGCGCAAGCACGATGAGCAAACAAGCAATTGTTTTCGCCTACAGCACCGCGATTTCATTATATGCACTACATCAAAAGTCTAGTTTGATTTTCGTTCCTACTATGATTGTACGCTTGTTGTTTGGTTACCGACTAGCTTCAAAGTCTGACTTCCATGCCATCATATGAAGGTAATTTCAACATGAACAAACGGTACTTGCCGATAGAAAGTTTCTGCAAGACTAGTTTATGTAGTGTATCTTTGCAGTGACTCTGCAGAACTAGTTAAGAACTTAATTATGACAGATAGCATAACTGTCATGCTATCTGTCATAATTATTATTAGCCTGCGAGATCCAGCATTTGAAGCAGGGCTCGGCACAGGTGGCTTGCCGGGCAAGCTGGATATCGTTTTGGAGGTAAAAGCAAAGAGGATATCGTTTTTGCAGAAGAGCATACTCCTGTCTTTCAATCTGCGGCCGATACGCTGCTGACATGCCGGCAGCATGGTCTCCCAAACAAACAAAGGGCTTTTTTACAGCGAAGAAGCAATCATATGACACCAAATTTGGTGTGTAGATGGGCAAGGGGAGTATGTAATTATGTGCAAAAAATTATGAAAAACTTATGTAAATTAAACTCCCAGCAAACTTTTTTAGGAGTTAGGTGGCTCTACAGCCACCTGGACAGCCACCTGAGGTGGCTGTAAAAAAGAAAAAGTCATAAATTTCTCCGGCTTCACAAAATTTTTCAGAACTTTTTACATAAGTTTACTCTTCACCCTGTTACCCATCTATCCGTCCTTGAATGGTTCCAAACCCCCTCCTCTTCGTCTAGCTACAAGCCCTTAAACTTTTTAGAGCGCTATTTTGCAGGCTGCTCCAGCGCAAAGAAGTGCGCCGGCGACACACGCACACACCGCCATTTCCTGAGCTTCCGATTTGTTTTAGATCATCTACATCGCTCTCATAAAAGCGCCAGTTACAGAGATAACGGACAGTTTTGGGAAAAGGCTAGCCTCTTAGGATTGAAAGTTCGTGAACTCATTGGTGATGCCACTTTGACAAAGAAGGGTGGCAGAAACTCAGGTGAATTTCGACTTCTACCTACGTTTTCTCGTGAAAATCTTCGATCGTAATCGATTCCTACGTGTCATCCCTACAAGGGTTTGTTCTACTTCGATGGACAATTTCGGCCTGTGCCACTCACGCAAAATAAGCTCGCTTCAGATTTTCTTGTATCTTTACTGGTATATCGTGTTTATTATATCATCTACTTATGAAACTCTAAAGTGTTCACAGTCGTAGTAAATTTTGAGGGTTTGTCGGCGTCAAGAAAGTTAGTGGTGTTCGAAATGTACAAGAACGATGAACGACGTTTGCTACGATGAAGTTTTGAGCTATGTGAAGAGAGGTCATCAGGTTTTGGGTAAGTGAAGTGAATCACTCGCTTGGAGCACCAAAATTTGCAAACTTCAGGTGCTGGTTGATGATGATCCTTTCAACTTGTTTCTTTTCCTTCCTTTCTTTTTTCTTGATGACTTGTTTCCGAAGGCCTCGCGCAGAGTATGCGCGATTTTATCGTCGCGATTCATCGCGATAAGACAAATGTACTAATGTACGCCGAGGCCTCACGATAGCCTTTTCATTTACATTGGAAGAAACGCTAGAAATCTGTGATGAATGGTCGATTGAAAATTACCACCCATTACGTGGCTTTCCTAGACGTGTAGTTTTATCGTACCAAGTGTGTTTGAGTGACTGTCGTTCTCTCAGTCACCTGTCGAGAGGCGATTAGAAGAGTCGGTTGCTAAGAAGTTACAACACCATCTATACACATGGCACTGCATCTTTGCTGGAAGTTTT